TTTCATGCAGGCTCAAATCTTACAGGGTTTTTTCCTTGCGTGTCTCTCCGTTGTAATGTTACTGCAGCCCATGTGATTCCCTGTGTCGCACTCGCTGACAGTGCCTTCTAGGGCATTAGCCAGCAGCACAGACATCAGAAACCTTGTGAGTTTTAACTCTAAGATGCATCGTTTAATGTTTACCCATGTTAAACTCCCTTCGCTTCGTCCCAGGCCCCCCCACCCAATGCCATGAGAGCCTGGCTGCAGCTGATCCTTTCTAAGGTATTAACAGTGGATCCAATTTTAGTGGCGTCAGCAAATTTCACCATGTTCCCCCAAGTCATTTATAATCGAATTGGAAAGCTACAGCCCTGGCACTGACTCTGCAGCCGCCCACTGGTATCTGCTGATATCAACAACGACCTGATATCCTTTCAACCAGGTAGCTCTCGGGTTTATATTCTTGTACTCCCCAGCAGCAGGGGTTCTCTGTGTATTAGTTAAACCACACTGTCTACAGCATGCCATAATCACAGTCTATAAGTATTTACACGAGGAACAAATATTTAACAATGGGCTCTTCAGTCTAGCAGAGGAAGGTCTAACACGACCCCATGGCTGAAAGTTGAAGCTAGACAAATTCAGACTGGAGATAAGGTATATGTTTTTACCAGGGAGGGTCATTGGCCACTGTAGCTATTTACCAAGGGTCAGGGTGGATTCTCCATCACTGACAATATTTAAATCAAGATGGGATGTTTTTCTAAAAAACCTGCTCTAGTTCAAACAGCAGTTATTTCAGGGAAGTTCTCTGGCTGTGTTGTACAGGAGGCCAGACTGCGTGATCACCGTGGCCCCTTCTATGAATTTCCATTTGAAACCCATTTCCTTAGGAAGTCCCACGAGACTGCAGTTTATAAGAGATCAAGAGTCTGACTTGGAGCATGGGGGTTCCTGGGCTTGTATGAGCCAGGAGCTCACACAGGAAAAAGGTTTGTCAAGGAGTCCAGGAGGAATTACCCAGCGTGTGGAAGGGCCCAGGAGGGAGTTAGGATGAGAAGTGATGGGGAAAGGAAAGAAGGGAACATGTTGATCATCCCCAAGGGGTGGAAGCCCCCTGTGCTGCAACGTTAAAAAGAAGCCGGCACCAAGCCAGGGGGAACTGACTGTGCCCTTGGCTCTCACAGCTCCCGCAGGAGCCATGCTGCCAGGGGCTCCATGCAGCCCCACATCACAGAGGGGTGAGCAGCACAAAGGGCTGAGGAGGGCAGGGGAAGAAATTGTTGGAGGCTGGATGAGCATGGAATGAGGCAAGGTCTAGTGGAAAAAACAGTCTGTGATCATGCAATTAACGAGTGTCTCGTGGTGTCTCTGCACAAGAGGGATGAATGAAAGTAGCACAAGCAGCCTTAATTCTGTCATTTACTAATTTCTGAGTGCTCGACATTGCATTTTTAACATAGGGCATTTGTGTTTTAATGTCATTTCCTAAGTTTTTAAAAAAGTAAACGGAATAAACAGAAATTTCATCCTGCAGAACTACGCTGTTACCAGTGTAAGTAGTCATCGGGGCTAGAACTTTTAGACCCACAGTGGAGACCTCCAGCATTCAAGCTAATGGAATGACCGGTAGCAGTAGAAAGCTGTTATCCTCTGTGGACCAGCCACTGCAGGAGGATGAGACACATGTTTTGTCAGAGGGTTTCACAACTACTGGCTGACACCAGAGGACTGCTGGGACTCAGGGATGCTGGGTTTGATTCCAGGTTCTGAAGAGGAGTATGCTCTAGTGGTGTTAGACCTTTCTGCCCATGCTCCCTGCCCTTTCCTCCTCATCTGCTCCTATTCCTGCTCCTTATCCCTCTGCCTTAAAGAGAAAGCTGCTTCTTCCTTCACCTCCATGCTGCCAGGGCACAAGCTGGAGCAGTAACTTGGAGAGCCTTCCTTCTCTCAGTTTCAGTGGATCAGCAACTTCCAGCAGCCTGGAGGACCAACTGCGCATTAAGTCCTGCTAAGCCCCTGCAGCCCTGGAACGGAGCATGCTCAGTCACTTGGTGGGGATGGCACATGTGCAGTCCACTCATATCAAGGAGGCGTGAGGGGCTGGAGCATGCTCAGTGTGGAAGGAATGTTTGGAAAATGTAGCTGCCAAACTCTAAGAAACCATTAGTGAACGTGTGCTTACTGTATTTGTCAGGGGCTTATCACTTGGCGAAATGTAGGCTGATTTTCATCGGGATGGCAAAAGGCATCTCCCCTTACCAAATTTCAAGTCCTTGCTCCAAAGCACGGGGGCCCTGGACCTCCTCAATGAAACAGTTGTAAGGATTTTTTAACATAGACAAACCAATGTATTAGTCCCTAATCTTATTCTTGGAAATGGCTGAAGATTTTTTTTTTTGCTGAACTGTTCCAGAATAACTCCTCCTGAGGCGTATTCATGGAAAACTTGAGGCCCAGCATGGAAAACTTGAGTCAGAAAGGTCACATTTTGGAACAGTTAGAAGTATCTGAAAACAGGGTCTTCTTACAGCACGCATCAGGCAACTTCGACCAACTGCTCCTATAATCATAGAATCATAGAATATAAGGGTTGGAAGGGACCCCGGAAGGTCATCTAGTCCAACCCCCTGCTCAAAGCAGGACCAATTCCCAGTTAAATCATCCCAGCCAGGGCTTTGTCAAGCCTGACCTTAATGAGAGTCCTGTGGCCAAATCCCAGGTCATTGCCTATCACATGGAGAACTTCTTCGTTGGTTGTTTTAGGGCTGAGAAAAGAGGAATTTTTCCCTATGAACAACAATTGGGAGAAAAAATAAGGCCAAAAGTTTTGAGTCTGTTGCTTAAAGTTAAGCACCTAAAAAAGTGGCTAGGTTCTGAGAGGAGGAGCCCCAGCAGTGGCCACTGACTCCAGCCAGGCCAAGTGTGCTGAGCAGACCACTTTTAGTAGACCTAGATGTGCTGAAATGTGCTCTGCTGGGTGATCCCAGCCCCGCAGGGTGGCTAGGAAGAGACCAAGTAGGGTAGCATGATGCTGACCAGCTGGAGACAGTACGGTTTGCTGGAAGGTGGTGGGTAAAAACCACAGTCAGTGAGCTCTCTTCCTTGCCTTGTGACAGCTTGTCCCATCCCACAGAGCCATCTGGAGGCAGCTTTGCCTTTGTCGTGAATGGAGTTAAGAGGCTGGAGATAGACGGGTATGGTGGAGTGTGCCCGTAGAGAGGACATTAGCTGAGAGCTGCTATATTCCAGCAGTTCTCCTCTGCTGCTGTAGAGGGTGCAACCTCTACTGGACAATTTTTTCCACCTGATTGTACCTAAAAAGGGGAACGACCTGCCAAATACCTGATTAGGGGGATGGAACGGCTTCCGTATGAGGGGAGATTAATAAGACTGGGACTTTTCAGCTTGGAAAAGAGGCGACTAAGGGGGGATATAATAGAGGTCTATAAAATCATGAGTGGTGTAGAGAAAGTAAATAAGGAAGTGTTATTTACTCCTTCTCATAATACAAGAACAAGGGGCCACCAAATGAGATTAATAGGTAGCAGGTTTAAAACAAACACAAGAAAGTATTTTTTCACGCAACGCACTGTCAACCTCTGGAACTCTTTGCCAGAGGGTGTTGTGAAGGCCAATACTATAACGGAGTTCAAAAGGGAGCTAGATAGATTCATGGAAGATAGGTCCATCAATGGCTATTAGCCAGGATGGGAAGGAATGGTGTCCCTAGCCTCTGTTTGCCAGAAGCTGGGCGTGGATCACTTTATGATAACCTGTTTGTTCATTCCCTTTGGGGCACCTGCCATTGGCCATTGTTAGAGGACAGGATACTGGGCTTGAAGGACCTTTGGTCTGACCCAGTATGTCCATTCTTATATTATGTTCTTAAACTGCCCCCATCCCAAAACAGGATGTCGGGATAAACCTTCCTTCCACTCACCACTGTCTTTCATCCTTCCGACTTCTACTGACGTGGGTTTGACCCAAGTACCAGTGGACTCCCAGTTGCAGACGCACTGGCATAAATAGATCACCTAATCAGACATGCAGAATACTGTGCAAGTGTATTGCTATGTTCCTATGATGCACTCATCCCTGCGGGATCTGGGATCATGCAACACTAGAGCCGTGGCTTTCACAGCATAAAGCACAGCTCATTTTCCCACAGGGAGATGAAACAAATGAAAGAAGAAGGAGACAACAAGGGAGCAGATGTTTCCATGTGGTTTTAGTCTAGGACATTAACCACTGCAGAGACATGTACTCCCTGCTCCCATCCCCACCCCAGACAGCAGAGCCAGAGACAACCAGGTGTTGCCATCACACAGAATGTACCTTTGGCCAGAAATGGCTCATACTCAGGGCTGCGTAGCTCTGTCAGTTAGGGGCGATATTTTTTTGCTGATATCATTATGCCGGTAAAAGCCCTCTTGTAGATGCAGTTATCCTGGGATAATGGTGCTTATACTTGGATAGCTTAGGCCAGATCTACACTACACAGTGACTTTTATAGAGAGTATTTCAGCCAAATGGTGACTAGCCATTGTTGAGTATACCAGTGGGACAAAGGTCCTGGCCAAATGCTCCTCTTCTGTGTGCTTATCTGAGTGGAGGAGAGGGCCCAGTTGGGGGCTGGCGAGAGGGGGGAGGTTTGGTTTGCAGTCTGCAGCATGATTCCTCCCTCTCACACCGCCCCATGGCTGCCACTTAATGCTCAAAATGCAGGAAGAGTAAAGAGTTGCCTGGGGCAACTGCAATGATTTAGCAAACCTAGTGCATCTGCTCCTTTGTCTGCAGCACAGACCAATCGATTCAATTGACATCCCGGCTTGGGCAACTAAACATGCATGCAATTCCCATCAGGCTTGTCGCCGCAGCCCCAGACAACAATCCTGCGACATGGAATGCAAATCCCACTCCAGTCCCCTCTGCCTTGAATGGGAGTGCTGGACAACAGGACATGGCCCATTAGCATCCGTGAGGCTGGCTGGCTAAAGCAAAGACTGGTTGCCTACCTTGGTGTCTTCTGTGTCTGACTGAGTGCTTGTTTCTTCATCGTAGAGGTCCGACTCCTCAGAGGCAATTGGCACTTGGACAGTCAGGTTGGGGTTGTTAATGAAATTCATGTGGTCCAGCTCATCCACAAACAACTGCTCTTTCCCAGCTACTCCATCCATATACTCTGACTTGGAATCCTGGCCCGAATCCATGTGGTTTAGCACATAGTTGTCTTTCTTATTATCCTCGAGTTCCTCGGCCGGCTCTCTCTTCTCCTTCCACTGCAGGTGAAGTAGTGTGAGGACAGTTCTCTTTACAAAGTCAATTGCCCTGGTGATCCTGCCAATAGCAATCTGCAAATTGTTCAACTCGCCATCATCATCAGAAGCCGCAAGGCTATCGGCGCTGAAGGAGCTCAGCAGCAAAGCTAAGAAAAGGTTCAGGACCTGGAGGGGACAAAAGCAAACACCAGGTCTAGTGTCAGACATGAGCACAGTCCTAGGGTCTAGATCAGGTGGGGGATCTCAATATTTTCCTTGGTGTGGACGACACCTTACTAAGACAGAATCTCATATGGACACCACCCCTCCCATTTGTGACTGTGTGGACCTGACCCTCCCATCCACATAACATCCTTGTGGTCCTGACAGCTGTTGCTCCCCTCTGGAGGAGTCGCAGTAGGAAAGTGTTGATCCATTAGTAAGGGAAGCTCTTCACTGCTTGGTTGACCCAGGTGATCAGCACCCAGGTCTGAGCACCCGGTGAGCCTCGCCCAGGAGTGAGCATCCCTGCTGCAAAGTGACGTGCCCTTCCTTGGCAGAGGCACCCTGGAGTCTTTCCCACACAGGTCTGCCCATTGCGGGAGAACTTTTGTCTGTCCGGGGGGGATTTTCCCCTGTGTCCTGACTGCAAAGCGTGTGGGTTCGAGCCTGAGTTAAAGCAGAGCCCAGGTTAACTGCGCTGCGCAGATACAGCTTCAGTATCTTTAATGCAACACAGTGTGTTATTGCTTCTGTAAAAAGGTCTGTCACCCCGTCGCCTCCTGGTGTTCTGTGCTGCTATTTCATCTCCATTCCCACCTTTTCTGCCCCTGCTCTCCCCTGCCTGGTCTGTTCCCAGAGCTGTACCACTAGGCCTGGTGCCCTTCTTCCCATGTTCCCCTGGACATGCTGCCCAGCTGCCTCATTCCTTCCTCCCCTGCTGGTGGCCCCAATTTCTCCTTCTCCTGCTTGGTTCCATCTGCCTTTCCACCCCACAGGCTCTTCTCTGCAGTGAAGAGCCTGGAGAGCTGTAGAAGCAGCAGGAGATGAAGGGAGAAGAACCAGCACCATGTGACCAGACAGCTCTCCACAGACCACTGGCTGCATGTCTAACACTGACAGACCCCGGTCGTCAGCGGGTGGGATTGAACCTGGGACCTCTGGAGCTTAGTGCGTGAGCCTCTACAGCATGAGAACAAGGCTGGAAAACAAACTCATTAATCTCTGGTTTCAGAGTAGCAGCCGTGTTAGTCTGTATTCGCAAAAAGGAGTACTTGTGGCAACTAGACAAATTGGAGGATTGGGCCAAAAGAAATCTGATGAGGTTCAATAAGGATAAGTGCAGGGTCCTGCACTTAGGACGGAAGAACCCAATGCACAGCTACAGACTAGGGACCGAATGGCTAGGCAGCAGTTCTGCGGAAAAGGACCTAGGGGTGACAGTGGACGAGAAGCTGGATATGAGTCAGCAGTGTGCCCTTGTTGCCAAGAAGGCCAATGGCATTTTGGGATGTATACGTAGGGGCATAGCAAGCAGATCGAGGGACATGATCGTTCCCCTCTATTTGACATTGGTGAGGCCTCATCTGGAGTACTGTGTCCAGTTTTGGGCCCCACACTTCAAGAAGGATGTGGATAAATTAGAGAGAGTCCAGCGAAGGGCAACAAAAATGATTAGGGGTCTGGAACACATGAGTTATGAGGAGAGGCTGAGGGAGCTGGGATTGTTTAGCCTGCAGAAGAGAAGAATGAGGGGGGATTTGATAGCTGCTTTCAACTACCTGAAAGGGGGTTCCAAAGAGGATGGCTCTAGACTGTTCTCAATGGTAGCAGATGACAGAACGAGGAGTAATGGTCTCAAGTTGCAGTGGGGGAGGTTTAGATTGGATATTAGGAAAAACTTTTTCACTAAGAGGGTGGTGAAACACTGGAATGCGTTACCTAGGGAGGTGGTAGAATCTCCTTCCTTAGAGGTTTTTAAGGTCAGGCTTGACAAAGCCCTGGCTGGGATTATTTAACTGGGATTTGGTCCTGCTTCGAGCAGGGGGTTGGACTAGATGACCTTCTGGGGTCCCTTCCAACCCTTATATTCTATGATTCTATGAACTTCTCTAAGGTGCCACAAGTACTCCTTTTCTTTTCTCATTAATCTCTCTAAGTGATCTTGGTGCCACTAGAGGGGACATAACACCACACCCGGGAGGTGTGTGGGTTACACTGGCACCATGCTTTGGCTCTCTCCTTAGCCAGCAGAAGTAACATAGGCCCTGAGTCAACCAGGCACCTAAGCATGTGTCTGACATTCAGTATGTGAGTGGTTCACTATTTCACTAGGATTATTCACAGAGTTGTAGCAGGGTCACCAGCTCTCACGATTTTATCGTGATTCTCACGATATTTGGTGGGGTATTTTTATAACTCTCCAGCTTCTGGATCACGTGGTTACATGGGAACCTTGGCTTTTATTTCAGTGAAAATGAGCTTCTAGCCCTCATAGCTACAGAGAAAAGCTTCAAAATGTAGCCCGGGTGCCTCCACTGAGCATTTTCACGCCCTCAGTGAGTACGAACAACTTACTTTTCATTTGTTGTTTGCAATGTTGTTGTAGCTGTGTCGGTCCCAGGATACGAGAGAGACAAGGTGGGTGAGGTAATAGCTTTTATTGGACCAACTTCTGTTGGTGAAAGAGAGAAGCTTTTGAGATGCACAGAGCTCTTCTTTACTGTCTCTTTCACCAACAGAAGTTGGTCCAATAAAAGATATTACAACATGCACCTTGAATCTCTTTTAATTGTTTGTAATACAAGCTGAGATTCTTGTGGACTCACATGACTCCAGAAGCTGGAGCCTACAAAACCAAATCAATAGCATGAGACTCATGATAACTCAACGTGGGAGAGTTGGTGATGCTGCAGTGCTCAAGGACCATCCGTGGTCATCCATGGGAGACTGAAAGTGTGAGAGTTTTCAAAACAGGCAACTGTTGCATGAACCTTTTGGTGCAAAGAGGTTTTTCCTTGCACTGGGCACAGAATCATCCAATTCCTGCATTCATCTATTTCTTTATGGATCTGCACTATTGTCAACCCCTAGCATTCAAAAATCCCGAGGTAACCTAATGGGAGCATGCTCCCTGACTTCCCACCATCCCTGTCTTGACTCAGCACCCTTGGGTGGAGTTTTGGGGGCAGATGAGCCGTGTCCCAGGCCCTAATCTAATGGAGATTGCTCCCCTCCGCACTGCGCAGTGGTGAAGGGCATGGGGTCCTGCACATGGACCCTCTCATGGGATCATAGAATCATAGAATATAAGGGTTGGAAGGGACCCCAGAAGGTCATCTAGTCCAACCCCCTGCTCGAAGCAGGACCAATTCCCAGTTAAATCATCCCAGCCAGGGATGCCCTGCCTCAGTCCCCTATTGCACTGGCTGCATTCCCACCATTGTCTTCGCTCCAGAGGATGCCCCATTGCACAAAAAGCTAATTGGTCCAACGACAGATTTTGCATCAGTAGTGTGCTTGGGGCTAAATCCAGCGACTCGGCCCCACCCCAGAGAAAGGCCGGCCTCGCCGCACAATGGGAGTGGCTGGTGCTTTACAGGGTACAGCAGCATTGCCCAGGACGTGAAATGCATTTGCTGTGAAAAACTGACCCCTCCAGTCCAGCCCCCACAGCTGTTGATGTTTGTGCCTCCCGGTGCCAGAAGCACATTTGAGAAGGGAATTAGCTGCTATTCAAGGTCACTGCTGTTTTCACATGGCTCATGCCATATGACTTAAACAGAGTCTTTAAATAAATCCCTGGGACCACACCAGTTTAATACTCACGTTAAGTACCAATTACAGCTAATCATTTCTGTTGCCGTTGTCTCCGGAGTGTTTTGGCAGGAGTTGATTATCTTGTCACCTGAGTGACTTCCTCCCTTCCCCCTTTAATAATGCCAAAGGAAATGCCCAAAGTGTCATTACTAGTAAAGGACGACTGGCCATGGCATTATCTAGGGGGAGGGCTCCATAAATATACATCATTGTAGCCAGAACGCTTAGGCCATCACCTGGTTTATGCTCCAGGAAACTGAAACCCAGTACTGGTCTGATTTCCCTATGCAGAGAGGAGGCAAAGCAGCTGGACCCAGTGGGGGGACATGGAAGTGGGCCCAGGCTACTCCCCTTTACCTGGGACTCTGCCGAAGTGTCTGCTAGAGCTCTGTGGGCTGTTGTGGGTCTTAAGGGCGGAGCAGTCACCCTCTGAGACTTGGTCTCCCACGGGAAATCAGGTTGGTTGCTAGTGGGGCTCCAGTGTGAGCACTCTGCAATCCTGGGAAAGAGGCCCCCTGCCCCCTCTCCATGCAGTGATAAGTCACAAACCCAGTGAATCAAAATTCAGGATGTTATCCTGCCCCTTAGGGGGAGGGGGAATTATAGCGCATGGCCTTCAGTCATCCTATACCCCGTGTATGGGAGATCTGGGGGGGTGTAAGGAGTGAGCTCAGGTGATGATCAGTGACCAGAAACTGACGACAGAAGAAGAGCAGGAACCAGGGTACGGGGCGAACCACACACATACATTGACAGGGCCACATTTTCAAAGGCAGCCCCTCCGTTTGCAGCTACAGTTTTGCCTGATCAAATTGTGTGACGTCCAAAACCCCAGAGTCGGTGGGCAAGCAGCCATCACACTCACACCCCTACCTACGGCACCCCGTCAATAGGGACATGTTCCAGCAGGAAGTACAGGTGGAGCCCCCTTGAAAATGTGGCTCTAAAATTGGCGTCACTCCTGCCAGGGGCCATGCTGGGGTGGTCTGGCAACGCTGGGTTAGGGCTCCAGCGCTCTAAACACACGTCTCTACAGCAGATGTTCCTGGAGGCGCCTCAAGAGGGCTCTGAATTAGTCTCAGTCTGGGCTGTGTTCTGATAAACGGATGCACCAGAAAGACGTGCTCAGTAAATGCTGCTGGGGAGGAAGGCTCTACCAGCGGGCAACGTGGGAGTGTGAATGCATTAGTCCTGCAGCTGGGGGCACTACTGGGGTTACAATGGCACTGGGCCCACATGCAGAAGGGGCCCCAGCACCTGGACCCCCCCCCACTCCACCTGTGCTCTGCCCCGAGGCCCTGCCCCTGCTTGGCCTCTTCCCCCCAAAGTCCTGCCCATCGCTCGCTCCTCTCCACCCCCTCCCTGGT